AGGGGCGGCGCGATCAGGCCCTGGGAGTGGCGTCCCGCCGGTGACCGAGGGGCAAAGGGGACTACGGGCTCCCAGGACACCTCGCAGGTCACCGCCTGGCCAGAGGCGGCAGGAGGCAGTTTCCTCGTGGAGGCTGCGGTGCGCCTGGGGCGCCCTGCTGGCTCTCCTGCCAGCCCCAGCCTGCGATCGGCCGCGGTCCTGCCACGCTGCGCGCTGCGGGGCGAGCGCTCTGGAGCGCCGGGCTGGGTGTGAAGGGGGAGGGGGAGCCGGGCGTCCAAGGCCAGATCTGCAAACGGCCCCGGGACACCTCGGTAAATGTGCCTTAGGGAAAGTGCCTGCTCTTAATAGACACCCGCAGGCGGGTGCAGAAACTTCTTAAAACACCGTAAACACTAACAAACCATAGAGCTTCCGTGGGTACAGCCCACTTCCTCACATGACTGGAGTATTAAAAGTCCAGTGCCAAAATAAAGAGGGGGTGGAGGGGAAAGTTACAAGAAGCGGATAGAGACGGTGCAAGTTGTTCCTAAGTCCCCACTGTTTGGTTGGTTAAGTCATTAGGATGTGGAAGGCAGTGTGCTAGCTAGGAAATGTCTTTATTCATACCTTTGTGAGGCAGTGGGTCTGGCCCACGAAAGCTCATCACCTAATAAAACATCTTGTTAGCCTTTAAAGTGCTGCATAGTCCTGTCTTTTGTTTCCGCACGATCAAACTAACTCGGCTACATTTCTATTACTATTCTCCCAAACTTGTAAATGAAGTTAAGTTCCAACCCAGCTCAGTATTACGTGAGTGCAGAGGCACGTGGCTAGCATCCGCTAATGCATATGTAAATACCAATTGCTAATTGCGATATACACAGACCACCTGATACTAATGGATGCTCACCGTTCCTATGCAAATGTACTTTGCACGCTTGTGTGTAATATACAGATACATCCCAGCTCGGTATTCTGTGTGTGCATAGACACGTGGCTACCAGTTGCTAATGCATATGCAAATACCTTTTGCTAATTGCAATATACACAGGCCATCTACTCTTAATCGATGCAAACCTTTCCTGTAAACTACACACCCTTGCGTGCAATGTACAGAAAGGTATGTCCCAGCGTCGGTATTCTGTGTGTGCATATACAAGTGACTACCAGCTGCTAATGTACGTGTAAACACCATTTGCTAATTGCCATATACACAGACCATCTCCTATTAATCGATACATATCCAGACGATAGTATTGATGTGCGCTGCGTGTACTCGCTTGGGTGTGTGTCCACCCAGAAAGGACACCCAGTCCCCGTTGGACTCTGAGGGTTCTGAAAGCTGCGTTTCTTAGGGTTGACAAGTATCAGACGGGTAGCTCTGTTAGTCTGGGTCTCCATAAACAACATCTGACGAAGTGGGTCTTTGCCCAGGAAAGCTTATGCGCCACTAAATCTGTCTATAAGGTGCCCCAGGACTCCTGGTTGTTCTAGTTGGGTTGCAATTTAGGCAATTTGTTCAGAACCATTTTTGGAAGGGCATCGCTGGGCTGTCTCTCCTGGCTGCGTGGCTGCGGGGGCCTCTCCAAACGCCCCCCTTGTAGCCGCTGCGCGCCCATTGGCAACCTAACCGCGCAGTGATCGCTAGCTAAAGCAGGCGAGTCCAAGGGGACTCAAAGCCACACGCCGAGAGCGCCCTGTTGCTCTGTGTGCGGGACAATGAGCCGAACCCTCCCTCCAGTTTTCACCTCCCCTCTCCCCCCAGATGACAGTCGCTCGCTAGGCAAAGAAGAGCCCGGGAAGGGACAGAATTAGCGCCTTTATTCGCAGCGTGTCAGTTTCATGTCAGTTTCATGCCAGTTTCAACGGGGGCTAATTCTGGTTCTGGAACGTGAGCCCGGTCGCTGCTTCCACGCTCCGCCCGGCCGATTTCGTTACAACCCGCGCTGGCGGGCTCGGGTCTGGAGTTTGGGGAAGGGGCAGAGGGCGGCGGGGGAGTCCGCAGCCCCGGGGAATCTCCGCTTGTCGGAGCCTCTTAAAAGTGAAGGGGCCGCGAAGGTATCAGGTCTGGGGCCCCGCGTTCACACACAGCGCCTAGAAACCACCAGGGCGCCGTGGCGGTGCCTTCCCCAGAGCAGCCGCCTGGCTTGAAGGGATTGCTCCTTGCGAGGCCCTGCAAGAGCCCGGCAGGCACCTGGGGGAAGCCGGCGGGGGGGGG